TGAAGTTCTGTTAAATTATTGTTGGCTGGTATTGTCCTTGGTTGCCAAAAATACATGGTAGACAAGGACCAGAAGACAGCGGTGGTGATAGATGTAGCAGATAGATGCCGGTGACAGCAACCTCGAGAAGAAGGAGGAGGAGCTGGAGAAGGACCAGGGCCTGAAGGAGGACCTAGAGAGGATGTGGAAAGTCAAGGCCAACGTGGTCCCAGTGGTGGGAGGAGCACTTGGGGCTGTGGCTCCTAAGCTGGGAGAGGGGCTCCCACAGATCCCAGGTACACCACCAGAGCTCTCTGTCCAGAAGAGTGCAGTGCTAGGAACAGCTCAGATCCTGTGCAGAACCCTCAACTCCCAGGCCTCTGGCAGAAGACCCAATATTGAGGAAGATACATACCACCCATAGGGGTGAGAGGGGATTTTTTATTGCATAATTTTAATCTAAACTCCTGGTTTACATACAAAGATGCTCATACAAACAGAGATAGCCACAGGGAGGGATGACAGAAGCCACCTGGAATAAAACCCAAATTCTTCCTTGAATATGCCTATAATATTGGGTACAGGAGCAGTACTGTGATCCCACCACAGTATATATAGTTTCCTTTTTGCCAACTGCAAGGGCTTTTTGTTGGGATGCTGTAAGGTAGTGCTTCTTAACCTTGGCAGCTTGAAGAGGTGTGGACTTCATGCTGGCTGGGGAACTCTGGGAGCTGAAGTCCGCACATCTTCAAGTTGCCAAGGTTGAGAAACACTGCTGTAAGGTCAAGAAGGAATTTTCCATGGTCCATAGCGGTGCCAGTAAGTCTGGTGGAATATAAAATCTGTATATGGAAGGGTCAACCCCTGGTTGAGTTACAACCACTTCTGTTCAATTTTGGAAAGGCAATGTTGGTTGTAGATGCTTTAACATGAATTCTTCTCTGGAGCAGGGAATTGGATTCAGTCTCTTGGATTAGTAAAACCCTGAAAGAGTTTGCAGCACACCCACCAACAGCTTGAAATCATGTGTGTGTGTGTGTAATAAACTGGATTATCACATTCTGTTTTGAGAAACCACACCTTGCCCCCGCCCTCCACTTCACCAAATTTGCAATCTGTGAAGTGTTTGCAAGAGAACAATAATAGGAAGGGATACAGGCCTGCTATAGGGACCTCTAAAAATGCCAATATTTTACATTTGCTAACTTGCAGATAACTTTGGGGAACACCCTTAAACATTACAGAAGTCATTATATACAAAAGGCTATTGCAAGGAGAGCTTGGTTGATATCTCTTGTGTATGACGCACTGGCCCAGACATTTGGCAGGGCTGATTTTAAGTGCTTCTTTCATTCTCAAAGCTGACACAATAAAACTCAGTTGAATTATCTTTGACCCATTTTCCTGTTTCAGCTTCAAACCAACAGCCAGGGCAGGATAACCTGTCGGGGATCTCCATGCCCCCTTTGGACTTTCTCCAGTGCTGTTATACACACAGATATAAAGGATGCTATGACAACAAACCATGCAGCTCAACTGTGGTGTAACTCAAGATGCGTGCAAATATGGGAGAAAGGAAAAAAAAATGCATTCAATTCATTCAGGAGCAAAAAATGGCAAGTGAGGACATGGTGGGAGATGCAACTTAAAGTAGCCTGATTCCACTTCAGGAGCTCCTACCGCACAGTCATGGCTGCAGAATCTCCAGAGCGCAGCGTTGCATTGGGCGGCGGCTACCTAAGGGGGCTTCTAAAAGCTGAATCATCTGCCAAGGGGATTTTGGAGGTGCAATTTAGCAGCATGCCAGGACCTCCTGAGAGCATGCTGACATGTTCCAAGACGTTGCTTACCTTTGCAAATGCCAGTCCTTGAGGTAAAGGCACCCCCGGGCGGATCGATAGCTTTTTTTAATGTGTTCTTTCCAATAGCTTATGTACTCCTTGAGTTTAAGATGTTCCTTTGGGTTAGAATTGTATTCCTTGACATCACAGTTGGCAACAGGTACTACAGCCTCTCCTGCAATATAAACTCTTTGAGCCCACTGGGAAAACACTGCCTCCCTGTTGGGGTTGATGATCAAACCGTTGAGACGTTCATCTAGGAAGCCCCTGGAAGTGCACTTCTATGTGATCGTGAAATGGAAAGGCATTTTCTTCACTCACCACCTGTTTCTTGGGGTTAATACAGGGCTACTCTACAGGTCACAGTAAGGTAATATTTGAGAGACACATTGAGGGCTACACCCAAGAGAAGGGGATCACTGTAATGCTACTGGATCCAAATAAAGCCTGTTCCTAAGCAATGGCTTATTTTGTACTCATGACTGCAGCATCAATTGGGATGTACCACATAAAATGTCAAGGTGCATTATGCAGTTTGCACAGCCATTCACCCCCTTTGCCATGGAGAAACTTAGGAGGGAAGGCATTTGGGGCTCCCTTCTATCTTTGAGCTAGGAAAGAAGCTTTGGAAGATAGCACAGACAGAGGAGATAGATCTGCCCCTTCTCTTCAACTATAATTAGAAAGAAAGGTGTTGGGGTGGGAGTTGGGGGGAAATTAAAGGGCTAAGCACCAGATTATCCAACCCTACAAGGTTCTTCTCTTCAGCTCCAAAAGCTTAGAAGAGAATGTAGTGGAACAGTGCAGTAACAGGGACTGAGGCTTCATTCCTATCAACATTCCTTAGCAATTCACCCTGCTGAACAGAACGAGGTTTATTTCTAATCTAGGAGTGCACTGAAATTGACGGAGCACCTTCTAGTTGGCCACAGATTTTCAACCAGCTAGAATCTGTGGACTTTGGTGAAAGTCAAAAGCACGCTTAAACACAACCTCTTGACAGGAGCAAGATTATAGCCGGTTCTTTTCAATTAAAGTTGGCTTACCAAAAGTTTGCAGGAGATATTCCAAGTTGGGTTTCCCGTCTGGTGTTACCCACTTCCTCCTGCTGGCCCAGCCCTCCGTGAACTTTGCTGAGAAAATGCAAGGGTCGTTGGGGATCAAGTAATCCTTGAAAAAGTCTGCGTAAGTGAACGTCTCAGGCTTTTCAATGTAGTCCACATGGTCGTGGGGCTGGCAAGAGGCACCCCGAGACGGGCCACTATAATCACGGAAAAACTTAGTGGAATATGCAAAAGTCTCCCTGTCCATTCAGGCAAGGACAGATTGAACTCGACTATTCACAACAAAGGAACTGGACTATGATGCCAGAAAGATTAAAAAACAGGTCAGGGAGGAGAGCAAAATCAGGAACGATAAAGGGTGTAGAAAAAAGAGGTCCAATTCCAGACCTTGCTGGAAAATCTTCCCATTTGGCTCCAGCAGTGAATGGCTCAAATGTTCTTTACCATTTGGGGTCTTGAGGACAAGAATGCTTGAGAGACTGATCAGCAGCCCATCTGCCCCCAGCAGAGCAGTTTCCCTTCAAAGCCAGAGCAATGAGTGGACTAATTTGGTTCCTTTTCCTCTGTGGCATTTCATGGAGAGGTTCAAGGAGAGGTTCTTCTTGATTTCTAGGACCAAACAGCAACACATTCACTTTAACACCACTTTACCAAAGCGTTGGGTTAGGCACCCTGATTCTTTCACTGTCTGGAAACCTGGGGAAGAGAAGCAAATGAAATTTCTAGGCCACCTAAATGAACAAATTTTGCCATAGAAATTGAGAATAACAGTAGCTAGTTTGCCATTCTAGTGAAGCCAGCTACCATCAACATCTGAACTGAGAAGTGTATGGAAAGGAGACACATTTTACTTCAGTGCTGGGTCGTGCCACCATCCTCAATAACCAAAAAATCAGTTATTGGGTTCCTGAAGGGGAAAATTCCCCACGACCCAATTTATGAGCGGGGACCACACAATCTGCTTGAGCCAAGTTTAGTTGAACAGCGCTGGGGACAGAATACAAGGTTCTGCCCACTTAAGGAGGTTACAAACAACCTTTATATAGTCATATAATAAATGCTAACCAGTAATGATGTTCAATGTCAATCACCAAAATGTCAATTTTGATAACATAGGTTAGATTTTCTACTTATTTATACATTTATTTATTTATAAATCAAATTTATACGCTGCCCATCTCACTGTATAAGTGACTACTTATAGAGAGAACACATAGTTAATAAAGCGGAGGTTGGCACAAGTCTGTTTTTGTGGTTAGTTACTTCCTAGTTCCCATTTAGAAATACATGTGCTGATTTAAGATAACTCCTGGCCAGTGCTTGCAAATGCCGAAGCAAACTATTAAGGAGGCTTACTTGAGTTCAGGGACCTTAGTAGTTTGAAGGTCTTGGCTCAGGTATTTGGTTTACTCCTTCATTACTGAAGAATAGGACTGGCAAAATAAGCAGTGCCAATTAGCAAGCCAAAAGAAATGCAACATCTACCCCATGGCCTTCTAAGTAATAGGTAAGTGTATGAGATACAACATGAGGAAGAAAAATATCAGAACCCCCAAAGAAGAATTATCGACGGTATGCAAATTTTCCATATATCTAGGTATGGCTAGCTGACAGGAGGAGAAAAATACAGGACCAAAAGAAAATAGAAAAAGGAATAAAATTTGGGACAGTGGACAAGCGAATAGGAGAGCTGCTGTGAAGGAATGGTTGGATGAAGGCCGCACTCGAGGAGATAAGCATTCCCTTAGCCCTCA